AACCTCCTCCTTCCTCATGAAGGCCCAACCATCAAGTACTCAGGAAGTCCCCCTGCAGGTCTCATTTCCTGCTAGCAGTCTCATGTCCCAGACTGAGGAACAACCTGTGTTCAGATCACCAACTGAAGACCAACTCAGCAACTTTCCTCCTAGGTATAACAATTTACCAGACCACGGTGTCCAGCAGTCAAACCTCGACACACACAGCTTTAGCTCAGGACAAGATCCACAGAACAATCCAGGACTATCTGAGGACAACCTGGCCTTAGGTTCCACTTCCTCCAGCAAGGTCCCGGGTTCTCTGATGTTGGACAGGTAGAAGCTAACTGGGACGCACTGAGCAGAGTTCAGGTGAGGTGGTGTGGCCCTCCCGCCCCACATGGGACCAGCCCAATCAACAAGGTTTGATCCAGAACAATCAAGACCTGCAGAGTCCTCCTGGAATGCAAGAACTGACCCAATATAATGTGGCCAATCTGGATTCAGGTCTTTCCGGCTACTCAAGTGGTGGGCAAGAAATGGCAAAACCTGAAGAGGTACCAGGAAACCAGCCTCAAAGCAAGTATGATCCTTCTCTAGGCACTCAGCTCCACAACATTGGCAGCAGTAAAGTCCTCCTGCCCAGCAGAAACAGGAAATATATCCAGTCTAACACGAAGCCCAGAACGTCCCAAAACCCCATCCCTGCCAGGGGGAGGTGTGTGAACACTGCAGCATCGTCTCTTTCAACCAGTCAGCCCAACCAAAACCCAGAAAGACCCGGTTCCTTGGAAAGAAGGAACACCGAGAGCAGTCGGTCTGGAGTGCAGAAAATTAGAGTTAAACCTCTGAGCAAATTAGTCTCCTCTGGACATAAACTCAACCAGAAACCTGTAAACCAACAAGTACCCAATCCCTCACTGTATGCCGCTGGTCTGACTGCGGAGAGAAGTGATGGAACCACCAGACGTCCCAACATCCTCCTGAACTCGCAGGTTCAGACGTGAGAATGGAACGTGTGCAGAACCAACACTGACGAAAGAACAGATGTACCACGGTGTCCAAGGTCAGCCGATCAATCTGCGGTGATCGACTCTAACTATTGGTCCCAAAACAAGCAAGATCTGGTCCATCAAGTGACCACCCAGCAAGGACCCCAGCAGACGGTCATTCAACCAACAGGTACTTCCTGTTTTCCTTATTGACCCAGGTGAAGATGGTGATGTTTTTGGCCTAGCATATCACACAGAGCTAGCTTAGCAGTTAGCCATAATGTCAGTTTGAAGATAATTACTTTGTTCTGTTTGTTTTTTTTAAACTCCTCCTCACTCTCAGGAGAGTCTCATAGCCGAGTCAGACTGTTTTCTGGCCTTCAGGAAAGATTCCCAAACGACCAGAAGCCCAAACAGCAGAACCTTCAGTACCCCAGCATACAGTCTGAAACCGGAGGAGGAACCAGTCGGCCCTCCTTCCTCGGCGTATCTGCTCAACACATTTCAAACAGTCCTGAAAACCAACCAAACAATCCCACCAGGAGCTCGGAGAGGAGACCTGCTGCAGGGGCAGCCGGGGTTACTGGTTCCAACATGGGTTTGAATGGTTCTAGTGGTTCAGGATCACATCAGAAGATCCACACCAGTTCTGACTGCAGCCGGCACAGCCAGTACGGATCCAGTGTTCACAACGGCATCATGAGAGGTAAACAGAACACATTCAAACACTGGACTGAACATGGTCTGTTAGAAATCACTGAGAATCTGTTGTAAAACAAAAGAAAACATAAAAACAACCCACAATAGAAGTTCTTACTTCAGGTTGAAGTGATTTATCTTTAATCACACAACCAGAATCAGAATCAGGGTTTATTGCCAAGTACATTTACACATACAAAGAATTTGACTTGGTGTATTGGTGCTAAACAATTAACAAGGAAATAAAGCAGAACTAGCAACAACTTAAATAATACAGTATAAGATATTACAATATATAAAATAGAATTTAAAAATGTAAAAAACATATAATGTCTATGTTTGCATTTGAAATGGTGAACTGTGATATGAAGTGTAATGACATGTTGTTCAAAGTAAATGTTAGAAGTGCCAGCCTCTGAGCTGGTTTGTTTCAGAAGCTGAGTCTGTTGTTGTTTTTGTTGTTCGGATGTGAACGTGTGTCTATCCTCTCAGGTAAACAGATCAGCTGATGAAGAACAGGAACCTCTGTCTGCAGAGTCTGATTTAATAAAGCTTCTGTTTGTATAAGACCTGTTTCTGTTTCATGAGGTGTGTGTCTGTGGGAACCTTTGGGTACTTTAAATACTGAGAGTTCACATCATGGGAGCCTGAAGTTCAGTCAGTACATGATCAGAGTATCACTGAGACATTCTGTACGAGCTTGGTAAAGATTCTCATCCTTAAAGATAAAGATAAACTGTCCCTGCAGAACACCCAACGACCGAACATGGTACCCAGTGGTTAACTGGTCGAGTCTGAGGAGGACCCACCACCACAGCCGACAGGAATCGTGACCCAAATTATTCAACCACTCAGATTCAGTCAGTGACGAATAGAGCTGTTTGGACCTCAGAAGGAAGAAAGTGTGACAGAACAAAAACTGATTCTAAAAGCATCAGACTGAAAACCGCTCCACGACCCATTGTTGGTCCCCCACACACCAGTTAAGAACGACTGCTTTCAATTACTGTTACAGAGTACCCTGAACCAGACTCCATTCAGAAAGAAGGCAGCTCAGTAATTCTGAGAAGAACATAATTCACAAGTCTTAAAGAACGGCTTATGATTAACTCTATTGAAGAACCGGACGTCTCCTAGAATGTTCTTTTAATGAACAATCCCTAAACGTCTAATAATGAATGTTCTGTAAACGTTCTCCCAAACACCCTGAGACGTTCGCTCTCACCGTCAGCAGAGACGAACTGTCCCACAGCCGACGACACTCCTCCCGTCCCCTCCACAAACTGGACCTCAGAGACGATGATGTTGTCCTCCAGGACCGAGCCGCAGCTGGTGCACACAGCACTGCCCCGGGCCTGATCCACATCGATCTCCGACCCCCCGCAGGTACCACACCTGGAGCTCATGGTGGAGGTCAGAGGTCACCACAGCCTGTGGGTTAGAGGAGATCATAGATCACAACAGCTGGTAAATTAACCAAAAGACTGATTAGTAATCTGTATTCTGCATGTTTCTAATAAGCTCCACGAGCAGAAACGTGCTCAAACTAGGATCAATATTGGAGATGCTTTTGAAAAATGGAGAGAGGTTAGAACACAGAAAGGTTTACAGACCCATGCAGAGCTGGATAAACACTGAAGTTTCAGAGTCCACCACATGGTGACCTGAGTGAGCATCAACTCTAGAGAGGGGGGGAGAGACAGCTCTCTATGATGTTTAGAATTTAGACTACAGTACCCATTTTAACCACTAGGGGTCAGAGTTACATACTGCTCCTTTAACTCAGGTTTTTATAAAATATTGTCACATGTTGTTTCAAATTAGCACAATGACCAGTTTTATCTGAGGAACAGTAAGTAGAGTTACAGTTAGAAGGTTTGAGATAATGGATACCCAGCAGCCAATCACAGCAGAGTATTAACTCAGATCATAATCTCGTTATCTGCGTTGAGAACAAAACGTGAAGACAGGAAATCATCAGCCTGCTGCTGTAACTATGTTACAAAGACCATATGTAGTTTATGAAAAGGTAACAAGCTGTCTGCTCTAACAGTAACTAGTTTATCTCTGTCAGTAACTAGTTTATCTGTCACAAACTAGTTTATCTCTAACAGTAACTAGTTTATCTCTAACAGTAACTAGATTATCTCTGTCAGTAACTAGTTTATCTCTAACAGTAACTAGATTATCTCTGTCAGTAACTAGTTTATCTGTCACAAACTAGTTTATCTCTAACAGTAACTAGATTATCTCTGTCAGTAACTAGTTTATCTCTAACAGTAACTAGATTATCTCTGTCAGTAGCTAGTTTATCTCTAACAGTAACTAGTTTATCTCTAACAGTAACTAGTTTATCTCTAACAGTAACTAGATTATCTCTGTCAGTAACTAGTTTATCTCTAACAGTAACTAGATTATCTCTGTCAGTAACTAGTTTATCTCTAACAGTAACTAGTTTATCTCTAACAGTAACTAGTTTATCTCTAACAGTAACTAGTTTATCTGTCAGTAACTAGTTTATCTCTAACAGTAACTAGTTTATCTCTAACAGTAACTAGTTTATCTGTCAGTAACTAGTTTATCTGTCAGTAACTAGTTTATCTCTAACAGTAACTAGTTTATCTCTAACAGTAACTAGTTTATCTGTCAGTAACTAGTTTATCTCTAACAGTAACTAGATTATCTCTGTCAGTAACTAGTTTATCTCTAACAGTAACTAGTTTATCTGTCAGTAACTAGTTTATCTCTAACAGTAACTAGTTTATCTCTAACAGTAACTAGTTTATCTCTAACAGTAACTAGTTTATCTCTAACAGTAACTAGTTTATCTGTCACTAACTAGTTTATCTCTAACAGTAACTAGATTATCTCTAACAGTAACTAGATTATCTCTAACAGTAACTAGATTATCTCTAACAGTAACTAGTTTATCTCTAACAGTAACTAGATTATCTCTAACAGTAACTAGATTATCTCTAACAGTAACTAGATTATCTCTAACAGTAACTAGTTTATCTCTAACAGTAACTAGTTTATCTGTCAGTAACTAGTTTATCTGTCAGTAACTAGTTTATCTCTAACAGTAACTAGTTTATCTGTCACTAACTAGTTTATCTGTCAGTAACTAGTTTATCTCTAACAGTAACTAGTTTATCTGTCACTAACTAGTTTATCTGTCAGTAACTAGTTTATCTCTAACAGTAACTAGTTTATCTGTCACTAACTAGTTTATCTCTGTCAGTAACTAGTTTATCTCTAACAGTAACTAGTTTATCTGTCAGTAACTAGTTTATCTCTAACAGTAACTAGTTTATCTGTCAGTAACTAGTTTATCTCTAACAGTAACTAGTTTATCTGTCAGTAACTAGTTTATCTCTAACAGTAACTAGTTTATCTGTCAGTAACTAGTTTATCTGTCACTAACTAGTTTATCTCTAACAGTAACTAGATTATCTCTAACAGTAACTAGTTTATCTCTAACAGTAACTAGTTTATCTCTAACAGTAACTAGTTTATCTGTCACTAACTAGTTTATCTGTCAGTAACTAGTTTATCTCTAACAGTAACTAGTTTATCTGTCAGTAACTAGTTTATCTGTCAGTAACTAGTTTATCTCTAACAGTAACTAGTTTATCTGTCAGTAACTAGTTTATCTGTCAGTAACTAGTTTATCTGTCACTAACTAGTTTATCTGTCAGTAACTAGTTTATCTGTCAGTAACTAGTTTATCTGTCACTAACTAGTTTATCTGTCAGTAACTAGTTTATCTCTAACAGTAACTAGTTTATCTGTCAGTAACTAGTTTATCTCTAACAGTAACTAGTTTATCTGTCAGTAACTAGTTTATCTCTAACAGTAACTAGTTTATCTCTAACAGTAACTAGTTTATCTCTAACAGTAACTAGTTTATCTGTCAGTAACTAGTTTATCTGTCAGTAACTAGTTTATCTGTCAGTAACTAGTTTATCTCTAACAGTAACTAGTTTATCTGTCAGTAACTAGTTTATCTCTAACAGTAACTAGTTTATCTGTCAGTAACTAGTTTATCTGTCAGTAACTAGTTTATCTCTAACAGTAACTAGTTTATCTGTCAGTAACTAGTTTATCTGTCAGTAACTAGTTTATCTGTCACTAACTAGTTTATCTGTCAGTAACTAGTTTATCTGTCAGTAACTAGTTTATCTGTCACTAACTAGTTTATCTGTCAGTAACTAGTTTATCTCTAACAGTAACTAGTTTATCTGTCAGTAACTAGTTTATCTCTAACAGTAACTAGTTTATCTGTCAGTAACTAGTTTATCTCTAACAGTAACTAGTTTATCTCTAACAGTAACTAGTTTATCTCTAACAGTAACTAGTTTATCTGTCAGTAACTAGTTTATCTGTCAGTAACTAGTTTATCTGTCACTAACTAGTTTATCTGTCAGTAACTAGTTTATCTCTAACAGTAACTAGTTTATCTGTCAGTAACTAGTTTATCTCTAACAGTAACTAGTTTATCTGTCAGTAACTAGTTTATCTCTAACAGTAACTAGTTTATCTGTCAGTAACTAGTTTATCTGTCACTAACTAGTTTATCTCTAACAGTAACTAGATTATCTCTAACAGTAACTAGTTTATCTCTAACAGTAACTAGTTTATCTCTAACAGTAACTAGTTTATCTGTCACTAACTAGTTTATCTGTCAGTAACTAGTTTATCTCTAACAGTAACTAGTTTATCTGTCAGTAACTAGTTTATCTGTCAGTAACTAGTTTATCTCTAACAGTAACTAGTTTATCTGTCAGTAACTAGTTTATCTGTCAGTAACTAGTTTATCTGTCACTAACTAGTTTATCTGTCACTAACTAGTTTATCTGTCAGTAACTAGTTTATCTGTCAGTAACTAGTTTATCTGTCACTAACTAGTTTATCTCTAACAGTAACTAGTTTATCTGTCACTAACTAGTTTATCTGTCACTAACTAGTTTATCTCTAACAGTAACTAGTTTATCTGTCAGTAACTAGTTTATCTGTCACTAACTAGTTTATCTCTAACAGTAACTAGTTTATCTGTCACTAACTAGTTTATCTGTCAGTAACTAGTTTATCTCTAACAGTAACTAGTTTATCTGTCACTAACTAGTTTATCTGTCACTAACTAGTTTATCTGTCAGTAACTAGTCGTTAGATTAACTCACCGTCAGTAGATCTCAGGAGGAAAACAATACAGTGCAGTTTAGAGACGCGCTGTTTGACTCTTCATTTATTTTCCTGTTAGGTTCATCTTCCTGTTTCGGATCTATATTTTCCCCTTATATTGAACTAAAACTGATATTTTAAATCCTGTTTAATCGTTTGGAGACCAGATATCGATTAGAGAATAGATTCTGATCACTGTTTTGGAAGGGGGTTGTTGTTTTCCTGCGGCGCATGGTAGTGACGTCACTCGCTTTGGAGTTTACAGGGTTGTTTGACCGACGATAATTTAATATAAATGCAGATATAATTCATAATCAACCTTTTATTCAGTCAAAGATATAAAAATAATTAATAATAGTTAAGCTGTAACTTAAAAATAAGTAAATAGAGACCTTGTTTAACAATAAAACCGTTAACCGTTAAACCCCAACATACCCGGATAATGGTCTCACCGGGCGCCTCGTGATGACGTTTAATGTTGAGCGGGTATTCGATGCAGTGAAACAGTTGGGATGAAGTTGGACTTCCTGTGATCCTCTGAGACTTTCTGTTCCTCAAGTTTCTACAGAGACAGACCGCCATGAGACTCTAAACAACAACAAGACTCTCTGTCTCGGATAACTCTCGTTGGGACTCGGTGAGACTCGGATAACTCTCGGTGGGACTCGGTGAGACTCGGATAACTCTCGGTGAGACTCGGATAACTCTCGGTGAGACTCGGATAACTCTCGTTGGGACTCGGTGAGACTCGGATAACTCTCGGTGAGACTCGGATAACTCTCGTTGGGACTCGGTGAGACTCTGATAACTCTCTCTGTGACTCGTTGGGACTCTGATAACTCTCTCTGTGACTCGTTGGGACTCTGATAACTCTCTCTGTGACTCGTTGGGACTCTGATAACTCTCTCTGTGACTCGGTGAGACTCTGATAACTCTCGGTGAGACTCTGATAACTCTCGCTGTGACTCGTTGGGACTCTGATAACTCTCTCTGTGACTCGTTGGGACTCTGATAACTCTCTCTGTGACTCGGTGAGACTCTGATAACTCTCGGTGAGACTCTGATAACTCTCGCTGTGACTCGTTGGGACTCTGATAACTCTCTCTGTGACTCGTTGGGACTCTGATAACTCTCTCTGTGACTCGGTGAGACTCTGATAACTCTCGGTGAGACTCTGATAACTCTCGCTGTGACTCGTTGGGACTCTGATAACTCTCTCTGTGACTCGTTGGGACTCTGATAACTCTCTCTGTGACTCGTTGGGACTCTGATAACTCTCGCTGTGACTCGTTGGGACTCTGATAACTCTCTCTGTGACTCGTTGGGACTCTGATAACTCTCGCTGTGACTCGTTGGGACTCTGATAACTCTCTCTGTGACTCGTTGGGACTCTGATAACTCTCGCTGTGACTCGTTGGGACTCTGATAACTCTCTCTGTGACTCGTTGGGACTCTGATAACACTCGGTGGGACTCAGCATGTCCTCGGCGGGGAGATGGACATGGAGCAGCTGGAGCTGAACCCGAGAATCAGAGCAGCCGTGAGGAGAGGTACCTGTCTCACACCTCACCTACCTGTCTCTCTCTCCTCACCTACCTGTCTCTCTCTCCTCACCTACCTGTCTCTCACACCTCACCTCCCTGTCTCTCACACCTCACCTCCCTGTCTCTCTCTCCTCACCTACCTGTCTCTCTCTCCTCACCTACCTGTCTCTCACACCTCACCTACCTGTCTCTCTCTCCTCACCTACCTGTCTCTCACACCTCACCTACCTGTCTCTCACACCTCACCTCCCTGTCTCTCTCTCCTCACCTACCTGTCTCTCACACCTCACCTACCTGTCTCACAGCTCTCGGCTGTTTGTTGTTCCACATGTTGTTCTTTCTGTTGTTGCCATAGTAACCTGTAGTTGTTGTTTTTGTACAGCTAAGTTGCGGTCTGTCAGGGACGTGTTGTCTTGCGGTCAGGACCTGCACACGCTCGGTCTGTCTCGCTCTGATGTCCAGCAGCTGCTCAGAGCCGCCGCCAACGCCTGCAGACGACATCGTCCAATCACAGGTCAGGTCAGGATGCTGAGTTATTGGACCACTCAGAGTGATGTCACAGCGTGAATTAAGTGTGTGTGTGTGTGTGTGTGTGTGTGTGTGTGTGTGTGTGTGTGTGTGTAGCCCTCCTGCTCCATGATGACCCCTCCTCTCTCAGACTCAGTGTGGGGTGTGCGGTCCTCGATGAGCTGTTGAGGGGCGGTCTTCCTGTGGGGGGCGTCACTGAGCTGTCAGGAGAGAGCGGAGCGGGGAAGACTCAGCTGGCTCTGCAGCTCTGCCTGTCAGTACAGTACCCTGTCCAGCAGGGGGGGCTGGACTCAGGTCAGTGAACGCAACACCAACCAGGTTTCAGAGTCAGGGATCAATAATATAATATCTAAATCTGTAGGAGCCGTGTTTATCTGCACCGAGGACTCGTTTCCAAGTCGTCGCCTGCAGCAGCTGATCAGAGAGCAGTCGAGTCTGCGCTCAGACGTCCCCGAGTCTCTGATCAACTCCATCGAGTTCAGCAACAACGTGTACATCGAGCACGCCGCCGACCTGGTGAGTCTGATCCACCGCCTGGTCTGACTTATTGGTCGATAACCACGTGACCTTTGACCCCTGTGTACCCGCAGGACTCTCTCCAGGAGTGTGTGACTCACCGGGTGCCCCTCCTGCTGACTCGGGGTCTGGTTCGCCTCGTGATCGTAGACTCTGTGGCGGCTCTGTTCAGGTGTGAGTTCCAGCCATCTGATTGGCTGGAGAGGAACAAACAGCTGATCAGCTTCTCCTCCAAACTTCATCAGCTGAGCCAGGAGCACAACACACCTGTGCTGTGTGTCAACCAGGTAACACACACACACGTCAGCCCCCACTCGTGGGACACGTGTCAGTGACTCGTTTGACTCCTGTCAGTGACTCGTTTGACTCCTGTCAGTGACTCGTTTGACTGGTCTCCTTTGACTCGTGTCAGTGACTCGTTTGACTCATGTCAGTGACTCGTTTGACTCGTTTCGACTCGTTTGACTGGTGTCAGTGACTCGTTTGACTGGTGTCAGTGACTCTTTTGACTGGTGTCAGTGACTCGTTTGACTCGTGTCAGTGGCTCGTTTGACTGGTGTCAGTGACTCGTTTGACTCATTTGACTCGTTTGACTGGTGTCAGTGACTCGTTTGACTGGTCTCGTTTGACTCGTGTCAGTGGCTCATTTGACTCCTGTCAGTGACTCGTTTGACTGGTGTCACTGACTTGTTTGACTGGTGTCACTGACTCGTTTGACTAGTCTCGTTTGACTGGTGTCAGTGACTCGTTTGACTAGTCTCGTTTGACTGGTGTCAGTGACTCGTTTGACTGGTCTCGTTTGACTGGTGTCAGTGGCTCGTTTGACTCCTGTCAGTGACTCGTTTGACTGGTGTCACTGACTTGTTTGACTGGTGTCAGTGACTCGTTTGACTGGTCTCGTTTGACTTGTGTCAGTGACTCGTTTGACTGGTCTCGTTTGACTCGTTTGACTGGTCAAGTTTGACTCGTGTCAGTGACTCGTTTGACTCTTGTCAGTGACTCGTTTGACTGGTCAAGTTTGACTCGTGTCAGTGACTCGTTTGACTCTTGTCAGTGACTCGTTTGACTGGTGTCAGTGACTTGTTTGACTCGTGTCAGTGACTTGTTTGACTCGTGTCAGTGACTCGTTTGACTCATTTGACTCGTGTCAGTGACTCGTGTCAGTGACTTGTTTGACTCGTGTCAGTGACTCGTTTGACTCGTGTCAGTGACTCGTGTCAGTGACTCGTGTCAGTGACTCGTGTCAGTGACTCGTTTGACTCGTGTCAGTGACTCATTTGACTCGTTTCAGTGACTTGTTTGACTCGTGTCAGTGACTCGTTTGACTCGTGTCAGTGACTCATTTGACTCGTGTCAGTGACTCATTTGACTCGTGTCAGTGACTCGTGTCAGTGACTCGTTTGACTCGTGTCAGTGACTCATTTGACTCGTTTCAGTGACTTGTTTGACTCGTTTCAGTGACTCATTTGACTCGTGTCAGTGACTTGTTTGACTCGTGTCAGTGACTCGTTTGACTCGTGTCAGTGACTCATTTGACTCGTGTCAGTGACTCATTTGACTCGTGTCAGTGACTCGTTTCAGTGACTTGTTTGACTCGTGTCAGTGACTCGTTTGACTCGTGTCAGTGACTCATTTGACTCGTGTCAGTGACTCATTTGACTCGTGTCAGTGACTCGTGTCAGTGACTCGTTTGACTCGTGTCAGTGACTCATTTGACTCGTTTCAGTGACTTGTTTGACTCGTGTCAGTGACTCGTTTGACTCGTTTCAGTGACTTGTTTGACTCGTTTCAGTGACTCATTTGACTCGTGTCAGTGACTCATTTGACTCGTGTCAGTGACTCATTTGACTCGTGTCAGTGACTCATTTGACTCGTGTCAGTGACTCGTGTCAGTGACTCGTTTGACTCGTGTCAGTGACTCATTTGACTCGTTTCAGTGACTTGTTTGACTCGTGTCAGTGACTCGTTTGACTCGTTTCAGTGACTTGTTTGACTCGTTTCAGTGACTCATTTGACTCGTGTCAGTGACTCATTTGACTCGTGTCAGTGACTCATTTGACTCGTTTCAGTGACTCGTTTGACTCGTGTCAGTGACTCATTTGACTCGTTTCAGTGACTCGTTTGACTCGTGTCAGTGACTCGTTTGACTCGTGTGTGTTTCAGGTGACGGATGTGTTCAGCGGCTCAGACGACACTTTGGGGTAACATGAGTTTTTTGCTCTCAGTCTGACGTTATGTTTCTCGTTGAGTGTCATGGCGGCGGTTTCTTCAGGTCATGTGACTCTTAACCCTTTCCCTTCAGCCCTCTGTCCTCCAGCGTGTCTCCAGCTCTCGGTCTGGCCTGGGCCAATCAGGTGATGGTTCGATTGATGCTGCGGCGTCTCCAGGGGAGCGTTTCTCAGGGCGATCAGCACAGCGCCCTCCGCAGGCTGGAGGTGGTGTTTGCTCCTCACCTGGCCCGAGACGGACGAGACGCAGCGGTCTGGAGAGAAGGGGTCCGAGGGGTCCAGACTTAAGACAAATGTCTCTCCAGATGACGCCTGTGTCTATATTTTTTTTAACTTGTACATAATAAAGAAACGATATTAAAGTTTGACTTTTGATAAAAAATGTCTCTGAACACGACACTGAGCTGAAAGATTCTTTATTGAAGAGTAAAAACTGATCAAAGGTTTAATATGTGTTTATATATCTGAGTAAATATACTCTGAACTATTTATTATTCTTTGATGTTTTCTGACTTCATCAGCTGATAATTTATTTTATTTAATAATTAAATTCATTTTGAATAGTTGAATTATGTTTTAAATCTGTTTTATTTACTTTGTATCATTAGTACAGTTTGCCCCCTCTGCTGCAGCGCCCCCTGCTGGTCCTTGTACATACCACCAGCATGACGTCAGACTCCTCTTAATGCGCCTGCGCGTTTTACCCTCTGAAGCCAAGGAGAAGTGTCGAGGAGCCGCTTTCAAAATAAAAGCATAATGTCAGTCATAAATGTGTTTAACATTAATTGAATAACTTTTAAATCTGTCAGTTTTTATATTTTTAATCAAATGAAGTTTAAATTAAATGAGATTAAAGACAAACTGATCAGTTGAGGAAGATGATGAGGAGTGACTGTTTTCTAAAACTGACCGATTATTATCTTTATCAGATAATATTTATTACATTAATAAACCATCGTCAGTACTTCTGGGCTTCCGTAGTCACACCGTTTTTTGACACGCCGTTGCTGCGTGAGGACGCCGCTTTTATTCTGAAAAAACGCGACCGGAAACTAAGGATGCTGTTGTCTTGTCGGGGCGCGAGCTCGATGGTGATACGCAACTATTGAAGCTCGAGAGCAGAACAACAGCTGATCTACGATCGACGCGAGGTCAGTGTGTTTGTGTTGTTGTTTGTTTCCGGTGGTTTTTGTTGTTGTTTTTGTTGTTGTTGACAGCAGCTGTTTCATCTTCAGGAGACTTAATCGATCCAGAATAACGGAGCCAGACAGACAGAGCAGATCAGGAACAAAAACATCTTTTATTTACAGAATAATAATAATGTTACACTTAGTGACGTCACTGTTGATTAATGACGTCAGATATCAGGTCACACTTAGTGACGTCACTGTTGATTAATGACGTCAGATATCAGGTCAACGCCCTGCCAACACAGTGTTCTGTTATCGATCCGTTAGAACGTCCTGCAAACTGATCTAACAGGAAGTGACCATATTTGGAGTTGTGGGCGGGGCTAGCTAGGAGGAGGGGCTAGAGAAGGCTAAATTATAAAAGTTAACAGCCTGTTTCTAAAATAACGAACCGAGAGGCTGGTCCACATGACCTCTTTTATTTATTTACACTTTAAATAGTTCAATTTAAAAAATGTAGAGCGGCTAACGAGCATGTTAAGCTAACAAACATATTAAGATAATGAGCATGTTAAGCTAACTAGCATATTAAGCTAACAAACATATTACGCTAAGGAGCATGTTAAGCTAACTAGCATGTTAAGCTAACAAACATATTAAGATAATGAGCATGTTAAGCTAACTAGCATATTAAGCTAACAAACATATTACGCTAAGGAGCATGTTAAGCTAACTAGCATGTTAAGCTAACAAACATATTAAGATAATGAGCATGTTAAGCTAACTAGCATATTAAGCTAACAAACATATTACGCTAAGGAGCATGTTAAGCTAAGGAGCATTTTAAGCTAACGAGGATGTTAAGCTAAGGAGCATGTTAAGCTAAGGAGCATGTTAAGCTAACTAGCATGTTAAGCTAAGGAGCATGTTAAGCTAAGGAGCATGTTAAGCTAACTAGCATGTTAAGCTAAGGAGCATGTTAAGCTAACTAGCATGTTAAGCTAAGGAGCATGTTAAGCTAACTAGCATGTTAAGCTAAGGAGCATGTTAAGATAACTAGCATGTTAAGCTAAGGAGCATGTTAAGCTAACTAGCATGTTAAGCTAAGGAGCATGTTAAGATAACTAGCATGTTAAGCTAAGGAGCATGTTAAGCTAAGGAGCATGTTAAGCTAACTAGCATGTTAAGCTAAGGAGCAAGTTAAGCTAACTAGCATGTTAAGCTAAGGAGCATGTTAAGCTAAGGAGCATGTTAAGCTAAGGAGCATGTTAAGCTAACTAGCATGTTAAGCTAAGGAGCATGTTAAGCTAACTAGCATGTTAAGCTAAGGAGCATGTTAAGCTAACTAGCATGTTAAGCTAAGGAGCATGTTAAGCTAACTAGCATGTTAAGCTAACTAGCATGTTAAGCTAAGGAGCAAGTTAAGCTAACTAGCATGTTAAGCTAAGGAGCATGTTAAGCTAAGGAGCATGTTAAGCTAACTAGCATGTTAAGCTAAGGAGCATGTTAAGCTAACTAGCATGTTAAGCTAAGGAGCATGTTAAGCTAACTAGCATGTTAAGCTAACATCATCATCTTTGTTGTTTTGATTTATATTCTTTATATATTTATTAAACTCTGTAAACTTGACTTCTTCTTCCAGCAGGGGGCACTGTGATCATGGCCTCATCTACTCTTCTGTCATTGGTCGGCCTCGTGCTCCTAACTCTGGCGTCCTCTCAGACCCTCGGCCCCTCCCTGCAGGATCTGACCAATAGGAACGCAGACTTCGCAGCACGGTTGTACCGAGCCGTCTCCAGCACCACTGATGACAACGTCTTCCTCTCCACGTTCACGCTGTCCAACGGGCTGTCGGCGCTGCTCGGCGCCACCGGCGGGCAGAGTCAGGATCAGCTGCTTCAGGGTCTCAGCCTGAGCGGCCTGGAGCCTCAGAGCGTCCCCGGTAGGTCAGAGGTCATGTGGTTGATGGGTTGGGTTTAAACGGTTAGCTTACACTGCGTCTTCTCAGATCTCTTTCAGAGCCTGAGGACCGCCGTCCTACAGGGGGGCGTGGCCTCCAACCTCAGACAGGGCGTGGCCATCTTCCCTTCTCAGGGCGTCGAGGTGGAGTCTTCTTACCTGGACCAGGTGAAGACTCAATTCGGGGGAAATGTTCAGACTTTAGACTACACAACGCCGCTGGACGCCTCCGATGCCATCAACAGCTGGGTCCAGGGGAACACCGGAGACCAGGTCCTGGAGCTGGTGACCACCGTGGACCCCCAGACCAAGCTGCTGCTCGCCACCGCTGCAACCTACCAGAGTGCGTATCACGTGTCGAGTGTGTTAGGGCCATCAAAACGGTTTCAGCGTTTCATTCCCCCGTAGCACAAGAGTGGATATCAGATATTTTTTTGCCAGAACCTCAAGTCTAGAATCAGAATCAGAATCAGAATCAGAATCAGATTCAGATTCAGAATCAGAATCAGAATCAGGTTTTATTGCTCAGTACATTTACACATAGAAGGGAACTTGTTTTGGTGTTTTGGTGCAAAAACAGTTAAAAAGGGAAAAAATTATATTATTATATATTATATTATATATTATTATTAATTATAATAAAGCAAAAATTAAAGCTGCTGGTGATGAAGGGCCCTCGCACCGCTCTGCATGTCGTGGTTAAGCAGCACGCCGTGCAGTTCGATTTGTGGAGAAGTCGTGGTACTGGCATGTTGAAACCAGTGGGCGCGCACTGTAGCTGTTCCCACTCAACGTTCTTGAAGCCAAAATACGCCGCTTAGTAGAGGGACGGATTTTTAGTCCGTCCCGACAAGCTTAATATGCGTACCAATTTTCGTGAGTGTACGTGAAAAAAATCTTTATGGGGGGCCATTTTGAAATTTTCATGGGGGCGCCACTGAGCCATTTTGCGAATTTATTTTACGAAACCACAAAAATATGCAATTTTTCACGAGACCTGATGAGCGTGGAAAGGTTGGTGAGTTTTCGGGCACGTTCAGGCCCTCAAAAGTGGCCTCAAAGAGGAGGAACAATAAAAAGAAGAATAATCGCTGAGAGGGTCCTCGCACGATTCGTGCTCGGGCCCTAAAAATAGCAACAACTTAAATAATAAAATATGGAAGCAATTACAAAATACAATTTAATTAAAAATATCAGAAACAAAAAATGTACAAAATGTGCAGTGGAGGATCTGTGCAGTTTGATAATGAAACAAATCTTACAGTTTATAAATCTACTCACATGTAAAAAGTGAGTGAGCGTTAATGTAACGTATCAAAACAGTTCCTTCATGCTGTGATGTTTTCTGACTGTGGGGCTGAGGAGAGTCTGGGTTATGATGGAGGAGGAGAGGATGGACTCGATGACGGCAGTATCGTATATCAACTAGATCAGGATCGAGTGAAGCTCTCTTGTTATTTGAATTTATTTATTTAATAGGGACGATGCAATTTAACATAATTTCAACACAAAGCATGAAACTGATGTGCTGCATAAAGAGTATATTGCTAATTTCCAACTTGTGTCCCCAGTTGGGCCTTTGTGTAAACAAACAGATTAAAATGTACAACATACATAAAACCCCAAAACACGATATGAGGATACATACAACTACAAAGTTTGAAGATATTAATTAAAAGTGGGTTCAGCTCTGGCTTGCTTTGAGCATTTCACCTGTTTTGTAAAGATTTGAAGTCATATATTATATTTACATTATGTCCTGCTGACGTCCGTTCAGAGCACACACACGTTCCAGGTACTTAAATATTTGCGAGCCAGCTTGGAGAGTGACCCCATGTCTCTCCACCAATCAGTGAGCTGTTTGAATATTTTCAATAAGAACATCCCGTTACGTGTTTGACTTTAGAATAAGAATCGACCGCCCTGCTGTTTGTTAATAAAGTTTTTTCTCTCTGTCTCAGTCCGCTTCAGTCCATCCTTTAACGCCTCCGTCACTCAGGACGAGCGTTTCTTTGTGGACAAGTATCACGTCGTCATGGTTCCCATGATGTTCCGGGCGGATAAGTACTTCCTGGCGTACGACCGCTCTCTGAAGGTCGGCGTGCTGAGGCTGTCAATGGTGGACGGGTTGGCCATGTTGGTTGTGCTGCCTGACGAAGATGTCGACATCACCTCCGTGGAGGAGGAAGTGACCGGCGAGAAGATCCGGGCGTGGATCAGACAGCTGAAGAAGACGTGAGACACCTTGTTTCCTTTCCTGTCTCCCTTTCATCTTTCCTTCACTTCTTTCCTCTCCTTCCTTTTTCCTTAGTTTCTAAAAATCCTTCTTACTTTTTATCTCAACTCTTCTTTCTCCATCCATCCTTTCCTTCTTCCCTTTCCTTGTGTCCTTTCCTTCATCCCTCCCCGGTCTTTGGCTGCCTTAGAACAGCTGTGTTGACATGTTGTTTGGATCAGAGTTATTCATGTGATACACACTTTGTGCTCAGATGGTTATGTCATGACGTCTTGTCGCTAGGCAACAGCAGCATTAAAAGCTTTACTGCAGAGACGAGGCTGTGTTCAGAGATAAAATATCTAAAACTGATAAACATGAACATTCAGATTACCTGGGGGTCGGAGATATATTCAGGGATTAAAGGTATGTTGTACTTTACTTACATTTCAGGCTGTTAAGGTTTTTTTCTTTGTGTTTTTTGAACAGGAAGTTGGAGGTGCAGCTGCCTCGCTTCCTGTTGGAGCGTTCGTACTCTCTGCGTGACGTCCTGGAGACTCTCAGCATCACAAAGGTGTTTCAGGACGATGCTGACATCATCAACATGGGCGGAGCTGAAGGGCTCAAACTCACACAGGTGAGAAATTAAACTCAGGTGAAAGAATTTAAACTAATGTAACATCATTTAAAATCAGATCTAATTAAAATGGTTAAACCTTCCAGTAATTAATAAAAAAGTTAAAGTTACACAATCAACAAAACCAGGTAAACACACCTGGTCCAGTTTAGAAAAAGACTGTTGGTTCAGGTATTTAAAAAAAAAAGAGATTTTGAAACACAGTCGCTCAGTTAAATAAAAAACAGAACCCTGTGTGTTCTACAATGTGAAAAAACACCTGTCCCCTTGTTCACCTGTTCCCTTGTTCACCTGTTCACCTGTCCCCTTGTTCACCTGTTCACTTGTTCACCTGTTCCCTTGTTCACATGTCCCCTTGTTCACCTGTTCACTTATTTACCTGTCCCCTTGTTCACATGTCCCCTTGTTCACCTGTTCACTTATTTACCTGTCCCCTTGTTCACATGTCCCCTTGTTCACTTGTTCACATGTCCCCTTGTTCACCTGTCCCCTTGTTCACATGTCCCCTTGTTCACATGTCCCCTTGTTCACCTGTCCCCTTGTTCACATGTGCCCTTGTTCACATGTGCCCTTGTTCACTTGTTCACATGTCCCCTTGTTCACCTGTTCACCTGTCCCCTTGTTCACCTGTTCACTTATTTACCTGTCCCCTTGTTCACATGTCCCCTTGTTCAGCTGTTCACTTGTTCACATGTCCCCTTGTTCACCTGTTCACCTGTCCCCTTGTTCACCTGTTCACTTGTTCACATGTCCCCTTGTTCACCTGTTCACCTGTCCCCTTGTTCACCTGTTCACTTTCTCACATGTCCCCTTGTTAACATGTCCCCTTGTTCACCTGTCCCCTTGTTCACCTGTTCACTTATTTACCTGTCCCCTTGTTCACCTGTCCCCTTGTTCACCTGTTCATTTATTTACCTGTCCCCTTGTTCACATGTCCCCTTGTTCAGCTGTCCCATTGTTCACATGTCCCCTTGTTCACCTGTCCCCTTGTTCACCTGTCCCCTTGTTCACATGTCCCCTTGTTCACCTGTTCACTTATTTACCTGTGTGTGTGTTATTTCTACTTTCCCTGATTATCGTCTCTCACTTTTGTCTTTTCTGTCATTCTGACATTACATTTCCTACCTGTGGCCTGTCTTCAGGTTTATCAAAAATCTGTCATGGCCGTCGATGAGAGCGCGGATGACATCACCACAGGAGGCGGGGTCAATGCGTTCTCCACTCTTCCTCCTCGACTGACCATAAACAGACCCTTCATGTTCGTCATCTACCAGCAGACGAGTGACAGCGTGCTCTTCATGGGCCGAGTTGTCGACCCCTCCAAGAAATAAAATGTTTACCTGACAGGATGCTTAGCCCCGCCCACCTGAGTCTACACATGTTAGTCTGTACTTCCTGTCAGTTTACATAAAGCCCTAGCAGGTAAACCATGTTCACCTGTTTTCCTGAGAAAATGTAAGCAAGAAAATAAACCTGAAGTTCTAAAGGTTGTTTTCAGACCTTCATGTTGAGCTGTCGGTTCCCTGACGATAATCTTTAATCCAGCGCCCTCTGCTGGTCAACATGTTAAAAAACATGATGACCAAACACCTGCAGATCTGAAGACATTTCCGTCAGCCTCATGGTGCGTTCCATTGATCTTGGAAGTCGGAGCTGGATTTGACATCACACCCGAGTTGATACTTTCCAGTTATGAGTTGGTAACAAGCTACATGGAGTACCTTTGCTTTGTTATCTTAAACCAGAGATAACAACACACTACGTGATAGTTTGCAAACCACAATAGTTACAGATTAAACGTTACTGTTGATGCATGGAGCAGCCATGTTGGATTTAGCTTGGGCTACTAAAAGTTCTCCGAGTTACCAAGTCCGACTTCCAACTTCAGAGGGGGCATTACTGATGAGGTACTAGACAGAATTCCGAGATTAAATGGAACGCACATCAGCTGTCCTCTGTGTATACTGGTCATAACCATGTTCCTGCTGCGAGGATGTTATC